TAATAATTGTAATGCTTTGATTTTAACAGTCAAATATGTTAACGCTGTAAATTTAACATTGAGTGACAGGTCTAACTACTAACATTCATATCCAATCTTTCCTTTTAAGATTTCAGCATTTCAACATTTTTTTTACTTTCAAATAATTTGCAACAAAAAAAATCAGATGATATCTCTGACTGACTGGACACCTCATGCACAGAGAGTGAGATCTTCTGGGAGCCCAAGTGTCACAATAGCAGTGTCATTATTATTGGCGGCTGCAATGAATGGCAGGCTGTGTGATTTATTGCTTTCTTGAAGGAAATTTTAATTTCTCTTTTCAGTCACTATGTTGATGATTTAAGTGTTCTCATCAGCTGAGACACTAGTAGTCACTGGAAAGTGAAACATAAACTTATATCCTCCCTAAATGCCCTTCGTCATGTCTTTATGAACTTAATGTATAGGAAACCATTTAAGCTCAGAGAAGCACTTGATGAGAGGTAAATATTCTGTCTAACATAGCAAAACATGAGCAAACACTTTCCTAACCAGGTCTGTAAATAGATAGAATTTTAAAATAAATGCTTAGAAAAAAATAATATATATCCATCCATCCATCCATCCATCCATCCATCCATCCATCCATCCATCCATCCATCCATCCATCCATCCATCCATTCATTATCTATACCCGTTTATTCCTTTTCTAGGGTCACGGGGGTCACTGGTGCCCATATCCAGCAGTCAAAGGGTGAGGGGCAGGGTACACCCTGGACAGGTGTCAAAAATAATAAATAAAAAAATTATTAAAAAATTTTAAAAAACAGAGCCAACCCGGATAATAAACAGATCAAAAACTAAATAAATTGAATACAATTTTTATTCAAAGGTAACACCAAACACTGTTATGTTACTGCAATTGTTAAACAATAACCTGAAATGTGTATTTCATTCAGGGTGTAAAGGGAGACAGAGGGGATCTGGGAGACAAAGGCTGCAGAGGTGAAACAGTAAGTTTCTTTTTATGTAACGTTCATGCTTCATTTTAAATGGTTTAAAATGCTGGTTCTTTTCTGACTCTCTTCTTTGTACCAATCTGTCATCAGGGAGAACCTGGGTATGGTTTTTACACAAAAGGAGCAAAGGGAGACAAAGGAATACCAGGTCCAGAAGTATGACTTTACACTAAC